ACTGTTTTTTACCTTATGATTTCATCATTTACAAATGCCAGCAACCAAAATAAAATGTTCCGAAGATAATCGATCATAAATTAATTGAAGGATTTTCGGCCTAAATTAAATTCACTTATTATGTCTTTGTTTTCATCTGATAGTACATCACAAAATACACATCGCCCACGTATTTCTGAAAGAATGAAAGCGCCTCTTCCTCCAAACGCTCTTGAGAGAATTGCTAACCAAATGAATGTTACAACGAATATATCTAGATAAAATAGCCATAGATACTTTTTTCATCGATATAAAAACAAAATTGGAGTTACCGGTGAGTTACCATGTCCTTTTTGGTGTGAATTTAGCTCATACAAAGAAGTTTTGGAGTGTCTCTTTGCTTCATATCATTTTCTAAAAATTATTCTAATATAATTATTTGAAGGCTTTCTATTCTCAAACATATCAAACTGAAGAATTATTCAAAAAGAGTAATAGGATATTAGTTTTTTTTTTCTTGATAGATGTGTGCATTAGCTTGAAGTTAGGTTTTCCGATAATAATTAATCTTTTTTTCTGAGATTTTTTTTAAATCCTTGATTAACTTTTTGATGAAGTCACTGATACTTACTGACTTAGAATTTCACTCTCGTAAATTAACTGTCAAAAACAGATATTTTTCTTTAGTTTTGGTTTGTAAAAGCATATTTATATTTGATTTTCAGAAATCAAGAATGAGATGGACAAATCATGCAAATTGCTTTTTTTCAAAAGAAAACAAAATCAAAACATTTTTAGGTTTTTGAATCTAGTGTTTATAGTAATTTGTGATCGGTCGGCAGAGAATGATCACTCCTCCATGGCACCTGATCCCACCTATGGTGTTTAAGAGGTCCTTGTTTACTCTGATTTCTAAAATACTGTTCGTTATCTCCATATGTTTCATTTTATTAGAGGAATTAGAACTCAGGTTATAAAAGTAGTGGCCGAAATTCCATCTGCTCATTGAATCGTAAATGCTTATTACTTCCTAAACAATTTACGACAAACAACAATATTTAAATAATGATTTTGTCAAGATAAACATTTACGCATATGTTCAGAAAAAAACCTTCAGTGGAAATTAGGCAAAGACACACCTAAATGAAATCACAAATGATTTTTGAAAATATTGAAAAATTGAGATAATTTTTTCACTTTCCCATTGGGTCATTTGTAACACTGTAGGCATTTTGCTGTACTTCTTTATCTGCCGTTGACAAAACCATTCCCATCAAATCAAGTCTCATTTGTGATGAGACAAACTGGATTTCTGACTGCTAACTAACAAATTTGTATGACAAACGAGATGGCTTTAGTTTTTTCATCGCTCACTTTTCCTATTTATAAAGTAATATTCAAGTATCAACTGCTTCTGGTGTTTTTGTCCTCTAATTTATTCTGTTCCGAAGAACTTGCTCTTAGCTTGATCTTGATAAATTTTAAAAGCGAGGCAGGCTTCTCACTGATAAGTTGATGTTACAGGAATTTCAATAACCTTGTTTAAAGATGGCATTTCGTAAATTCTATTGTCACTATAAGGAAGGACATTTTAACTGTTCCATATTAATTGTGACACCTTCGTTCTATACTGAATTGACTTGAAGGTTCCGTCTACCTGATCAATACATAGGGCTAACGGGGGATCAATCTTTAAAGCGAGGCAGGCTTCTCACTGATAAGTTGATGTTACAGGGATTTCAACAACCTCGTTAAAAGACAGTATTTCGTAAATACCTTTTTAGGAAATATAACCTTCCAATGGGTGATATTTTGGCTGACTTGTATTTACCATTTGTTAAGTCTTTGTTTTAATCCGAAATTTGACTATGTCAACTTCCATCTACATGATCAAAATTGGGGCTAACGGTGGATTTGACCGTTTTACAGGGAATGCTTATTCCTCCCAGACCCTAATCCCAACTCACGTACGTCCAGGGATCCTCGTTTTATGCCCGCATATGTTTGTATTATTAAATTTTTTTGAGATTGACTATTGATCGTTATCTTGACCTTTTAGGTGTATATGTTCAGTAAATGATCCATATCTCAAGAATCTTTGGATTAACTGCTTCTTTTAATTTATCACTTCTTTTCTCTTAAGTTAAGGACTGGGTGCGGCGATGTGATTACATCCTAGAAATGTTTACTTCAAAAGGATTATATGTTTATATTGAATCAATTGTATATCCAACAAATACATGTATTGTCTTGTCAAGATGTTTTGTAACGAATAGTTTGCTAATGCTCTATGATTGATTGATTGATTGTATGTTGTTTAACGTCCCTTTCGAGACTTTTTCACTCATATGGAGACGCCAATGCTCTACGATAATATGAACGTTTCTAGAACTTATGATTTGTAAAGTACTTTCTAACGGGTGTTATCTTCATCGATAAATAGCATCATACCTAACTGATGTTCCTAATTACTGTTTTGCGTGACATCTTAATAACACAGGTGGATAAGAAACATGATGTTTTTCCAGAGTTATTTATACTGTGTATCTGAATGCAATTAAGTTTATAGACATTTAAGGACAGGCGATATCTTCCTAAATAATATAAATAATGTTTTACAAGATTTTGTAGTTGAAGTAATGCTACCCTTAAAAAGTAACTAATGTAAAATTTGGGAACCTTGCGTGGCATTTGGGCAAGATACCAGAGGATGATGTTGCCTATATAATCTTTTTGAAATATTTTGAATTGCCAAAATTAAAAATTTTAGCGTTGTAAATTTTCAAAGACAATTAGAAACCAGTTTGGAAATCTCAAGGTTTTTATAATTTTAAATATTTTTTTTAAAATACATATTACGAAGGTATACAAAACAGATATATGAGGAACGTATCGTCTGACCTTAACAGACAGATAAACGGAAAAGTAAACGGCATGTGATCAAGAGTCTGTAACAAAACTCAGTTTTATGTTACAAAGATTCCTGAAATTAGGACACATTTTGATTAGTAAATTATATATTCGTTAACTTGGACTCAATAATGATTTTGAAAATAATGCATTTGTTAGCCAGGACTTGTAGCTAATTAAGTGAATTGGGAGTTATTAGATTCGTTAACTAGTTGGTTATATTAATTATTTGTTATCAGTTTCGTTAACTAGGGCTTAAAGCTGATTAAGTAAATTATGTGTCATCAAATTCGTTAACTTGGGCTTGTATCTGTTAAGTTAATTGTTTTATCAAATTCGTTTCCTAGGACTTATAGCTGATTAAGTAAATTATGTGTCATTTGATTCGTTAACTTGGACTCGTAGCTGTAAAGTTGAGTGTGTTATCAGATTCGTTAATTTGGACTTGTATCTGTTAAGTTAATTGTATTATCAGATTCGTTAACTTGGACTTGTATCTGTTAAGTTAATTGTGTTATCAAATTCGGTTCCTAGGACTTGTAAGCGATTTAATATATAATGAAATCGTCAAATATTACTAACATTCGTAGCATAGTATCAATACTGATTAAGAAATTGATGGATTCGTTAACTACGTCTATAGTAGCTTATTTTGTAATTTATGTGAAACAAAAAGATCCAAACCATGAAAGGTTTAAATATTTATGCAAGGAAATATAGTAGAATCAAAAGGATCCAATAGGTAAAAATAAAGATGTCATTTCGGTCTTTTTTTTAGATTTTAAATATTTTTTGTCAGCGAGGCTTTGGTTCGTCTGAATAATACAACAATTAGAACATCTTCTTATTAAATAATGCAACAGAAACGTTTTACCTCGTCAGACTATATAATCTAAGAGAAACAAAACGTAAGTTTACATGTACAGAGTTTGCTAATGTATGCCAAAAATATTGATTTACCCATACACTAAGTTCTAAGAATTAAGGGATTTGTGTTTAAAAACATTCATTCAGAAATTATAAGCTACACTTTCTAAGAAGTTTTATTTCATCATTTAAAATTGTTTTCCAAAATCAATAAATCCTTTTAATTAATTGAATTCTTATAAATGATATCAGTTTTAGATTATTGTAGAAAACTGTTAAAGAATACTAACTGTCGTTACATATTTTATGTGTCAATAAATAGTACATATTTTAATGTAAATTACACATAATTGCAATCTTCAATCTATGAAACATCTAATAAGTAGATCTTAAAAATAATTGTTATAAAGTTGAAAGGGTAGTCATCTAACTATTTCATTCAAAGAACATGTATTGGCGGTCAAGACTGAACATTATAATGACGAATGTTTGAAGCTGACAATAAGAAAAAATATCACTTTATCTGTTAAAAACTATTTGAACATATTTCAATAGATGATTAAGTTACTATATTCTGCAAACCATCAAGCATTATTATATAAGATTCTGATTTTATTTATGACGATGATAAGTTTACAATTCCACATCCCAAACTTCAAATTGATAAAAACGGTCAAGAAATTGAATTACATGACGCCAAAACTACCAGTGAAGTTCCCTTGGACAAACAAGGCTTGACTCCGAGAGATTGGGGGAAAAGGTCTGCACAATCATAAGCCTCAACTGTCATAACATAACTATATATAACATTCAAACCAACGCATCAGTGAAGTGAATTTACTTTCTTTAATCAGTCACATTTTTTAGTATAAAGTAGCATTGTTTTTGTTAAACCAAATATTAAAGTAATATGTAGGTGTTTTTCTGGTATTAGAATCATTCTGCAATTAAAAAAATATGAAAAAGATACTATTTTATCTTAATATAATGACAGAAACCGGCATTCTAATTGTATAATTCGATTTTTAAAACGTATATCTCAGAAGCTCTGTCTGATGTAAAAAGGTTCAATAAACCGTCGTTTTATTTTATTTTTCCAAATGAAAAATGCTTATTCTTTACATTACTTTATCATTTTGTAGTGTGTATATTTGCAAAGACCTTGGGTAATTTTTTTTGTTAAAGAAAATTCAAAGAAAAGAGACAAGGAAATGCTAATTTAAAGATTAAAAAATTCTACTCACTTTGAGTGATGGTGTCCGAAACAGTCCAAAGGCCAAACAACTGTCTTAGTCTACAATTTGGTTTTCAATAAATAGCGCGAGACTGAAAATGATTGGATGCCAGACATTTACCGTGACGTCGATCAAGGTTCTCCGCACACTGTGTCAATCAGGATCTTGTTTCAACACTACAGAAAGCGCGTACGATGAAAACGTTTTGATGACGTCGTTAGCGTCTACATGTATCCTTAATTGTAAAGTCCGGTCGGCCGATTGGAAGGCATACAGATTTTGACAAGACTCCCGATCTTTATAAAGTAGATTAATTTTTGATTTGGTAAACCATTATCTGATAACCGTGCTACAGTCAGGCTTTGGAGGGTAAATTTGAGTCATTGATTCTCCCCCTTCTTTCAGAAAAAAAGTGTACCTCATATATTAATGACTTATTGTTCAGATGAGCATTGATTTTTCATTAATTGTATCGGAGCATATGAAAGTGTTTCACACTGAATTCACATAACGCGTAATGACAGTTTAAGAAGTCAAAAAAGCATAATATCGATTCCTGTAAATTGTCACGGATAAATTGCATAGCTTTACACAAAACAAGTTAGCGAGCGAAATTCCTGCATTATGTGCGAGTCAAACAATTATGGTATGATGATTAACTGGAAATTTTCAAATGAATAATTTCATTCACTTCAAGTCTGAATAGCATGTAATTGTGTCAGTTGTACCTCGTCGAGAGTAGAAAGGTTCTATCAAGTCCTTTTTTAAGCCATACATTAGAAGAGTTAATAGCATCCTTTGAGTTTCATAAAAAGCAATCCCATCATGCTGTATGATATATCAATATTTTATAATACCAAAAAGTTAAATTGTAGCAATTTTTTCATCTGATTTTATAACCCATATATAATAAATATAAATATTAGATCATGTAAGTAATAAGTTTAATTCAGATATAACTATCAACTTATTATACATATTTTACTACTGATTTTTCGGAGGTCCGTGTTTGCTATGCTCCTATTTTTTAAAATTGTTTTATAGACTTTTGATCTTCAATATTGTTCGTTAACTCCATATTCTTCATTTTTAATAGAATCCCTGTATCATTTTCCAAATTCTTACCATTTTTAATCAAATTGAAATATAAAAATATAACCCAAACTAGGAGAAAAAAAGAAAGAACGAAATAGTAGGAACTCTTAAGCATTTCTGGTCCAAGACTGCTTAAATTGTTATTATCTGCTAGCATTCAAATTATAAAGTTGTTGCAGTTCCTACATTATTTTCCGTAAAAAGGCTCCTGATTAAAAAACAGTGTAAAATGATATAAGATAAAATGTTTAATACTCAATGTAAAATGTTTGATTGGCGACTTGATAGGCTGTGTATGGTGACAAGGCCAATATATTGATCGACCACAAAATTTATGAGATGACTTTAAACAAAATTGTTGAAATATCAGTTTAAAAAAAGAGATATTCACTGTTTTTAACGAACATGACATAAATTATATTTAAATTTTGGCCCTCTAAATTTCAATCTCAAAGTAATGAGACATAAGAATTTTATTAAGTTACCTGACATTTATTGTAAGAGGAAAACTTTGCTATGACATGCTTTTGCTCATTAGTGGCAAAGATCCGATGTATCTAAGTCACTATCTTTAAGTTCCAGTTGGAAACAACTAATATGACGCATGTGAAAGTCTTTTAAAATTTTAGTGGAATTCAAATTCAATACCGTTTAGAAATCCTCTTCTATACACTTTTAAATGTTCGATGAAATAATATATAAATTAAAGAAAAGTTTATTTTAATATTAACAATGATATAAAGAAAATACCTTCATTATAAACAAAACACGCTAAAACAAATTTTCTGTAGTTAACTATTATAGCTTATTGTAGTTTACTTTAGTTAACTATAGTAAATGCTTTGATTCTTTGATTTACCTAGGGGCTTAACCCTAAAATATATTTCTTTTTTTTTTTTTTTTTTGGAATTTGGGCTTTATAAACTTTTTTAATTACATCTACATGATAAAAAAAATTGATGTGATGTATGAATGAATGTACAACTAGTATTTCTTTTTAAATATAAATAAGTTACTTATACGACGCAGGTAAATAAAATGTACTTATACGACGCAGGGAAATGAAATTCGATGTATACAATAATTTGAATACGTTATTTACTGTAGCAAAAATTGAATATTCTGTTTTGGATTTAATTAAGATGTACCTCTAGATAAAGATTCTTAAGCTATTAGTTGTTCTTTAGTTTAGTTGTTGTTCTTTAGTTGCCCAGTAGTCGTGCACCGTTTATTTTTGTTGTCAAATATTGTAGTCAAGTGTTGAAATATTACGTCAAAAAGACTACTTAGTCTCAAAGATTAGAAAAGGAAGCATCTTGACAATAACAAGGAGATAATATGCAGAGGAATGCCCTTTAACGACCCGTTTGTTCCTGAGACTTCAATAGGCCAACAAATGAATCAACTCGGTTACTATCTGTAATATTCTTAATCACAAAAGAAGCTAATCTTGAATTTCTTACAAATATACATCGACTATTGCTTCTAAATGTTTTAATTTCCATTAAGGGTCTTAACGGTCACCTGAGTATAATAAAACACTGTAAAGGATCCATAGAAGTATAAAATAAAACAAAATAAACTGATCGATAAAGCTAGGTTAACAAAGTGCAATAGAAAGAGGTAATCAGAAGCAAAATAATTTGTATAGTTCTCCATGATTAATCTTAAAGGATGGAGATATGTTTGCTTTCTGTTTTCACTATGTACAGTAAGGAAACAAAAGACTTAAGTACATGTAGTAACCAATCTCAATACATCTTGTCTTTGTCTTGAGCGTCTATTACTTGATAAAGATAACGTATTTTGGCTGTTTGTTTTACTTATTTATAATTCGTAGGTCTTAGTGATCCTTAAAAACTATGAACATTTTTTATATCATAAAAATGCTAGCATGAATATCAGGAATTATTTATTAACAGCAGTTGAATAGCAAAGGGAAGTCATTTCTCCAAGTATAATTTTTTTCACTCTAGATTGGAATAAAATATATGGAGATAACGAACAGTGTTCAAGCTCAAAAGCCCATGTAACAATACAAAATAGGAGCTTAATAAATATGGACCTCCAAAAACAACAGAAATTGGATCAGGTGCCATGGAGGATTGAGCATTTCCTGCCGACCGGTCAAACACCTTTTGTGCTTCTTGTCATGATCGGGAATGACAGAAAAATCCGTTGACAATCCAGTGTGTAAATAATAGCCTGACAATTAATATGAAAAACGTCAGTCAGCATTTGTTGCAATGATAAATTGCAGTTGCTGAAAAGTTCATTGTATCGACCAAAAACTTTTGAAATGATGACTTAAACGAGACTGCTGATATTAGACATAGAGCATGCTCTTGCGTATCGAATACACTGAGAGAGGTAAAACCCGTATGCAGATGTTGGAGGTATATTGCTGCACAAGTAAGGAATGTTGACGATTGAAAACTTTAATCACGTTTATCATACAGTTTTGTTGCTAGATTACCATTCAGGTCTTTTTTGAGTAAATTATCCAAATATGAAAAAGATGTGTCAGACTTGTTGTATTTTTTATCACAAGCTCAACGGGATATATCGTATGTAAATTCGATTCAGCTTCATCGTAACACTATCCTTCCCAACCCAATGGACCATGAATTTTTACAATTCTTTGAAAAAGACTCATGTGCATTACTAGGTATTTCATGGGCACTAATTAAGACCGCGGAACATTAACTGGCAAGATTTGAAATATGCAGCTTAAGTCATTTCTATCTGTTACAATAAAAAAACATTTAATGATAGACAATGAAATGGGCGGGTACAATTCGACCCGGACGGCCGAGAAAACTAGTGATTGTCTTTAGCTTGTGCTAGATCCATTATGACGTCATAATTAATTCAGTGTCACTTTTCCCGTACTTTACAGCTTCAATAAAATAAGGCATTTTGAAATTCACAGAATTCAATTTAAAATCATGCCTAAATAATGTTAACTCAATTTTTTTATTTTTGGTTATAAAGCTTAATGACAATATATTTCTTGAATTAGAGAAACATGTAGGCACCTTTCATTTACTTGATCAGTAGATTTTTACATTAATAAAGTTGACAAATCCAATACTATCTCCTGCAATGAAATTACAATGTGTATGTAACGTATTGTGATAATGTGAATAATTAATTATTTTGAAGGATTGCAAAAATCATTAAAAAAAATCTTCAGTTGCCAACTAAATAGTATAAAATCCTGATGATATGTGTCTAAGTCAAGGATGTACGTGTTGTAGATTGTGTGTACATTTTGTGATATATATCATGAAATGGTGTGCATTCCTTCTCTTAATCATTTGTTACTTATTCATGTATATTTTGAATGGTTCGTGTTTGATTACAATTTTTCTATCAAATATGATATTTTTAAATAAAAAAGTACAGTTTTTGATAAATGTTAAGATTTTTTAATCTGAAAGTACATGTAACCCCAAACAGTCATTTAATAATTGATTCCCGTGTAAGTGCAAAAAGGTCAAGAATATTAGTATCGGTAAATAACCTATTTCTCATTAGTTGACGGCGAAAGGTATATTTTTTAATCACTTTTTGTAATCATTTGGGTATGTTCTTAATTATATTAAAGATTGAAAACATTGTGACAAAGACTTCTGAAAAATATTTACAAATGTTGGGTGGAAAATTGACTAAAAACAGAGTTCATTTGCGTATTATTTTTTTAAATGTGGACTTATCTTTTATGTGAATTGAATAAAAAAAATATTCTTGAACAAGAGGGGCATGGGCCACATCGCTCACCTGAGAAGCTTTGACCATTCTGTTCTTTACCAGATTTCCCCCTTGTTATACATAATGCATCCCCACCTTACCCCACTGATCATAATTTAGACATTTTGAAATCTACACTACCCCATGATCCTTCCATGGGCACATATGTTTCAGCTTTTTTGGCCCAGTGGTTCCTGAGAAGAAGATTTTCAAAGATTTTTTCTATATATTTCTATGTAAAACTTTGATTCCCCTATAATGGCTTTTCCCCCGGGGG